CGGCAAAGTTATTTGGGGCATTTAAAAAGTAGGAAGTTAAAGTAATAATAATTAGAATTTGAAGATTGAAGATAGTGTAGACTTTTATAAATATAAGAAACMTTTACAAGTAGAAAGATGTACAGATAAGGTTTAAAATATGTAGGTGAAACATTTCTGGTTAATATTGAAAATATGTAATTAGAGCGTTACCAGATGGTCAAAACTCCACTCCTAATCTAGGATATTGTGTTAGACTTATTTATTAAGTAAGCTCCAATAATTTTGAAGCCAGCTCAATTTTTTACATGAAAAAATAATGGCCGAAAAAAAAAGCCGAAAGAGTAAGTCTTGGCAAATGTAATTTTGCAATTACAAAGGAAGTCTGATCGTCACGTGGCAAAAAGCCTCACATAGTATACTATCTCGGCACCCCTCATATTCAAAGTATGATCCAAACAGTGAAGAACCAATTTTTTATAAATGTAGACGGTCACTCTTTAACTCGGAAAATGTTCTACGGTTCATTTTGAACAATTTTTTCTAATAAACTATGGGTCAAACACTGAGATAGTAATTTTCAAGGAGAATGTTCTACGGTTCATTTTGAACAATTTTTTCTAATAAACTATGGGTCAAACACTGAGATAGTGATTTTCAAGGCGAATTTTAGCTTTTAGGGATTTTGTAAAATTTGTGCATCAATTTTTGAGATATCCAAATATAATTTAATACACTGGGGTATTTTGATATTGTGCTGATTTGTCCTGAGTCATACAGATCGAGCAACAATAACATATATATATCTTCCAAGCAACCGATTATTCACTTTTTTAATTGCCCGATWTACTACCTTGCGCCCCATTATGCAAAATTGCCCTCTAATTAAAACAGATAACGAAAATACAAAAAAAAAAAAAGCAAACGAACAACTCACACACCACCGATGCGCATACACTAGTGTACGAAGAGAGTTTAGAAGAAATAAATAGGTACTTCCTATTTTTACGACACTTCATTTAATGCAAAGTACCGTAATGAATACTTAGTAATGCTAATTTAATGCAATTTCTTTGATTTTTTCTTTGATACCTCCAGTACTTCGCAATAATTTGATAAGTACTGCTTAATTTAATATATTTTGATGAGAAAGTCGTTAGTTTAAATTTTAATATTTATTTATAATTTACATATTTTCTRATATATTATTTTGCATTTTTATTTACATTTAGATGGTAATCCCGTCACCGGAGAGGGTTACAAGCCCAGCAATTCTTTCAACAATGCGGTGCCCACCCTGAATGGTGCCAATCAGGTCATCAATAAGAATCGCATTCCACCAGGTGGATTCTCTTCAGGCCTCTGGTAAATAAAGTTTTTATCGCCTRTGTATTGTTCGTTCCGCGTTTGGGAAAAAATCAACAACAGAGAAGCGATGGTCTGAGATGAAGTGATGAAACCGAAAAAAAGATAATAAAAGAGCAAATATATTACACACACACACAACCAACATAAAAATAAAAAATCATAAAAATAACTAACTGATCATCAGAAAATCACATAATGATTACAACAGCCGTTGAAGGAATTAAAATGTCCTTCACTTTTTTCAAAGCAAGAATGAAATGAATGTATGGATGTGTGGAGAGTTGCGGTGGATATTGATATATTACTAACCAAGTAGGGAGAAAACATTTTAAGAGCAAAAATTTAAATAAAGTAAAAGTAGTTTGAAAGCGATAAAGAATTGAAGAGAATGCAAAGTAACTAGTATTTAAGCTAATCAAGCAGAAAATAAAAAAAATACACATGCGTACACACTAGTACACACACACAAAAAGTGTTATACAGCGAAAAGTAGTAATACAAACATAATTTATTTGAAAATGTGTGGTCCTAAAACCTGCTACGAAAGAAACTGGCTGGCTGACAATTGACCATTCGAACATGAAGTGCAAACAATATAAAGCAGCAACAACAAATCAATACAATTTACATGCAAATGATTATGAAGTATAATTAACAGCAATATTTGAGCAAAATTGCATAGATGTGGTTAATACGGACAGCAATTACTCTACAAGTAACAAATGTACATAGCAAAATTGAGATTTATGCACTCGAGCATAAAATCTATAATTTTCCAAAACTAAAAAGCGAGAAAACACACAAACCTGCATGGCATTTGGCAATTTTCGTACGAACAACCGCACAACCAACATCACCGCCACCACCCCCACTATCAGCAAAGTCAGCATCATCATCAAATTGCAATTATAAATTCAAGCTTTTGCAATTCATCATTATCATGTCACATACATTTACATTTGCATCACCTGAATACTACACACACGACMTTAGCGTGTACGAAAAGTGCTCAACAACGAACTGCAGCTCATACCAACAACTCAACGAACTTAAAAAACGACGACGTCGGCTTAGACGATTTACAGATGTTGCTTTAGAAATTATAAACAAAAAACCTAGAAACCCCAAAAAAAATTAATATTTGCTCAATCAAAGCTGCAGTTTGTCCGTCGAAAAACAAACATTTAATAATTACAACAACAACAGTTCAAACGCATGCGTCTCTTAGCAGTATCTTAAAAATACGRTTTTAGCGCGCCAGCACAACACTTGATGCGTAGATTTTGTATTTTCCAGCCGAAGTGTATCGCCCTTCTAAATATATCTACCAAAACAAAAAGTGCGAAAGACACAAAACCAAACAYAACCAAATCCACCCGCATCCAACATCATTCACAACAATATCGATAAACTGAAGAATAATAAGATACAACAACAACAATGAATTATAAAATATTAATCACTACATCGTAATTAAAAAACAAACAAAAAATTAAAAAAAAAACAAAAGGATGTAATAAAACATCATTCATACCATCACACAAACATGCATTCATATAACCACTAGCATTCATTTCTACGATACTTGAAATCATACATACATACATAATTAATTAAACATTTAAATGCCTATAATTTGCATTCATTTATTTTAAATCATAATTATAATTATGTTCTCCTAATACACATATATATTTTATATCTATATAAACGATATATCTACATACATATAAACAAACAAACAAAATTTAAAAGAAAAATATGTACATTACAACGTACGTTAGTATAACTTGTAACGATTTCTGATTTTGTCAAAACTTTAAAATTGCATTTCTTTAATACATATAGTTTTTTCAAAATTATTTATACTACGCAAATTTTTTAAAGCATGTTAAAATATACAGTTAGATACTCTTATCAACACATCTTCAAACATACATACATATATACACATATACATAAGTGTATAACTAATTGTAATAAATTAATAATGAAATGAGTTAAATATAACATACCATTTATAAACATTAAACATACGTATAATATACACATATACACATACACACGAAAATTACATTAAAACAAAACGCATTTGTAAAAAATTGTAAACAAAATTTGTTTAATAAATTTCGTATATTGAAAAATTCACTTAAAATAAAACCGTTTGTTGTTAATAATGAGATTAATGAGGTAAGTTACGCTGTCAATATTTGCAGATAAAAGATTGTAAATATGGTATATTCGAAAAATTCAGAAAATTTATAATTAAATTAACAAGTAAGGAACGGCTAAGATCGGGCGTAACCGAACATTTCATACTCTTATAGGTGTGTATCTGCAGGTGTTAGTAAAACTTCACATTAAAAACGTTGCGAAAAATTTCAACATTCATCGACAAAATCGTGAATGAATTACAACTAAATTTATTCAATTCAATTTGATTATTAAGTTATCTTATCTCCCGTCAGCGAAAAATAAATTCAAATCATCCTCATCCGATATTTGTTGTATAAACTCAACAGAAGAGGCGAGTTGTTATATATACAAAGTCAGCATTTACAGGATTTTGGGGCTTGAATAGTTTTTGTTCAATTTGGAAAGTTTTTAGTCATACGGTGTAGCATCTCAAAGGCTCAATTTGTGCAAAGCTTTATCCTGATATATTTATTGGTTCTTGATTTGTCGCAACGAATTGCCCTTTGCACAATGAAATAACTTGAATGGTTTGGGAGATATATACACTAAAACAGATCGACATGTCCCTTGTTATCTTAGTTTGCGCCTTAGTTATAGCAATTTACGRGTTTTTGATTAATGGTGTTTCGTGCCCGTGGCAGTGGTCCTATTATGGCCCACCGAACTTGACTCGTCATTCTGATCATTTATATCTAACTCGATTAGTTAGCCGGTGATACAAACAAMAGTTAGGTAAAGAAACCTATTACATATATTCTGTAGCAACATGCTGGGAGAGTATAAAAAATTAAATTTGTCACAATAAAAACGCCGGTGTTGTAGATGTGGAGAATCGGACCACTGCCCCACCTTCAAAATGCCGTTATTCGAAAAATAAGAAAGTGTTACARCTAATCCCCATATTAAGATAAAAATCAGTCATTTGGTGCAACGAGGGGCAACTGTTTGAAAAAGAGCGCGTGATTTAATATCCATACATATCTCACTAACCACTAGACCTAATCATTTACATTTTCTCAAAATAATCTTTTTGGCACCTCCTCCGACAGTTTGACGTCGAATTATAATACCGCTTATTTCCTAAACAGATGAAATTTAATGAAAGAGCGACTAAATATATAAGTTAGAAGATAAAGCAAAATCCTATATATGTATCAGTAACTAGTCAACTAATTTCAACCAAGTTTGGTGCGTAACATGACCCAACCTTATGTTATGTTGTGAAAAAAWAATTTCCATCCGAATATTTTACTTTACAATCTATAAATCAGGAGTCAATGACGTTATCGAAATATAACTTTGCATACAAAGTGAACTTAAGGTATGTGATCTCACATCTAAAAATACTAAAAATCGGACATAAAGTTTTCAACTTTCCAGTTACTGAATGTGAGAACCCAGTGCCCATGGCTAATTTTTTCTATAAAAAATAGTAATCAATTTGCAAATCCACGATATTTCCTAAATAAATGTTTAGAAACTTTATTTATTGATGTCCGCTGATTCAGGCTGTTTTACTTCATTACAATTATTCACTTTTGTTTGAGAATCTTTAATAACTTTACTTTCTTCCACGGGTGATTCCAATTCAACAGTAACAGGACCATCGTTTTGAATGTGAACTTGCATGTAAGCACCAAATTTACCATCTGCAATTGATAAAAAAAATTATCTTATTTATATACAAAAATACAAACTAAAGCGCACAAACCTTTAACTTTCGCCCCATCATAATCCTTACCCAAACGTTTAAGAAATGAGTTATATAACTTTTGGGCCGCGTCACCTTGCATAGCTAAATGAAAATCAGGTTTATTTCCTTTAAGCCGATAATAGAGTGTAAATTGTGAAACACACAATATTTCCAATTGTTCATCTTTGACGCTTTTCTGCCAACGTTTACCCACCGTGTCTTCGAATAAACGTAAAGCAAGCAGTTTGCGTGAACTATCATTATCAAGTTTTATTAAATAAATTTAAACGGTCCAGAACAGACTTACATACATATATTCCACATCCTTTTCTGTGTCCGAATGTGTTATACCCACGAGCACGCAAAGACCACGTCCAATGGAACTAATAAGCTCGTCGCCAACTGAAATGCTGTATGATTTGGAAGCCATTATAATATATTACAAATATACCATTATGTATACCAGTTACTTTTGCGGCAGAAACCCTTTGTATTATCGCCTTCATTAATAATATGCTTTTTTAATAACAAAAAATTAATAAAAGTCAAATGCTACGGAATTGAATGCACGCCCAACAGCTGATATTTGCTTACACCAAAGCAGCTGATTCAAATTAATTTTCATAGCACAGTACGAAGTAGGAATGACATTTCTACCATTGTTAAGTGCTAGTTACAGGAACTGCATAAATCTATATCCGGTATAAAATTTATATATGTCAACAAAAATACTTATTTATTTTATTTAATAATGCATAAGTTGATAATTAATATACATGTATTAGCTTCTTGAGTTAGCGACTTTACTGGCATATAATGTATTTATAAATTAAACTTTTCATGCATATTTTATTGGAAGGGGAGTTGTTGACGTTAAGTGTGATTGTTCAAATATAAAGGCATAATTATAAATAAACAGTTTTAAACGTTCGCAAAATTGCAACATTTCTAATCTTTTCGAAATAATTTCTATTTGTTTGCAAACACTTTATAGATGCATCCACGTGCATTAACAGTAGGTGGTCAAAATTGGTAATAAATATGTTTATTGAACTATAAAACAATAAAAGTTTCATTAAGAACAGTGTTAACATATAATCTAATAACCGTTTTATATTTTCGGATTTATAAAGATTACTGAACTAATYTTAAGGAGATAAAAAAATGTACTATAATGGTTGTGCACAATCTTGCATATTGTGCGTTGCATAGTGGAATTTATGACCAAGCTTTTGTTTGCTATTTCAGTCTTATCACGTTTTTTTCTTTTTCGATAATAGCTTAATTGAAGGTAATATCATCTTTGCAATCACCTGGGGGTCCACTATCGAATATAGGTTCGCCAGCGCCGCTACCCCCAATTATGTTTAAAATATCAGATAGAGTGTATTGACCAATAAAAGTATTAATGCGCTATAAATGAAAATGTAACGTTATTTATACGATATATATAAAAGGGCTATACCCATATCAAATCATATACTTAGTATATATGTATATGTAATATTACCTCTTGTATATATTGCTCTGAGAAGTCCTTTTCAACAATCCAAAGATCCCCCAATAGTTCCAGGCCTAGTTCGTTGACTAAAGCATGCAAAAAATCATTTATTCGTTCCTCCTCGAGAAAATTTTCGAAGTCCATATATATTTCACCTACTGTGACCTACACAGCAATTATTTAATATGTGCATAAAAAGAATGAAAACAATCATAAAAAAATATTAAATGAAAATATTGAACAATTTACCGTAATACTCAAATTTCTAATGCTAAGGTATTTTCCGATGCGCAAATTAAATGATATTTGCAAGTTTAAGTTTCTTATATGAGCTCTAGTAATAAAAATAAATCAAAGTTATGTAAACCTTACAAGTAAAATATTATATCTGCTTACTGTGCATTACCATCACCGCTCAAATTCAATATATAAGCCAAAGATCCTTTCGCAGTGTAAATGGATTTAAACTCTGCCATTGGTAAAGTRATATCAAGTATTGATTTTCGTATTGTAGAAATACGCAAATCTAWATCAAAATCGGATAATCCTGTCAGGTTGAAATCAGTGACAGAGCCGGTGAAACTGCAAATATCGTGTATAACCCGATTGGTAAAATAGAACAGTATACATTTCTTAACCAATGTTCTTACTCTACTAAGTATTTGTTATTAATTTCTGTTTCGAYATGGTGGATTTGAAAAGGATCCAAGGCTGGCAATCCTAACTGTGGAATAGGATGACACATGCGAACACGTAATTGTTCCAAAAAGTTCAAAATAGTATCTTCATACAAACACTCAGCCTTCCGAATGGTTTGCAACAATACAGCTATTGCCAATACTATAACGTGGCTTAAACGACTAACAGGCGTTTTTGAGAATCTCATTTTGATTGTTAGTATATAATACGCTTCTTATAAAAAAATGTAGTTTACTAAAWTCTTCTCGCAGCTAACGTCTTAACGCCTGCAATAACTAAAACGCTACTGATAGTCACTAACTTCAGTATACTGAAGTTATTTCGAAAACTCATATACAATGTATTATAAAATGTATGTAAATAAGTTAAAAACATGCCTCTGAGATAAGCCGCCTTTATCAGTAGATTTATATTTTTTTCTACCGCACTTTATTAACGATATGTATTAAGTTAAATTACTTCTGAACTAGTTCACAAGTACTTGATTTTAAACCGTACTACTCCCTTCCATTTGTAACAAAATTCATTATTACCACATTTACTCCGATGAAAGCAGCAATTTATGTATTTGAAGAACAGTACAAGAAACAATGTAACCTTCTGTTGCATCGAAGCTATAATACTCTTCATAGCTGCATTTTTCATAGCAAAAAATGGGTATGAAAAGAACCTCGCCATATTTTGATTTTGTTTGGTTATTTTTAAAGATTGTAAAAATGGCTGCCAAATTGCAGGACAATTCCTTGCTAAATAAAAAAGTTTTGATTTGTCTGTTTTGTTGATAAATCGTCTCATTGATCATCAATTATCATGTATATTTTATTTAAAATGATCCCCGATGTTTCCTTTTGTGTGTTAAACAAATAGTGGCGAGCTTAATATACGCTGTTAAGAAAATAATTAAGGTTAAGATCTGATAGCAATCTGATGAGCAACCGAGTTTTCTTATTAGATACAATATAAAACACCGTAAATATTTTGTTTGTTCTTACAATATTTGCAAAATATATTTAACAGAATAAGAGCTCATTATTTATTATATTTTGTAAACAAATTTTAAATAACTAAAACAATTCGAATTCGAATACRTTAAACTTCACTTGGTGGCTGCCTCAAATGCTCAGGAATTTCTTGCAGTTCAATTTTAGTTGCATTTAAAGCAACACCTTCAGGTAAATTACGTTCAATGTACTCGAGGAAAGTATCTAATGTTGAACTTGTCATTTTGTGAAAATTCATGTAACGGAAATAAGTGCGCACTTCATATTGTACGCGATGTTTCTTATAAATATGCACCGATTTTAGTAGAGTCAAACGATCGTGATGTGCCTTACGCTCAGCCCAACTGGCAAGTAAAAAAAAAAATATTATGAAGGTAAAATCGTATATGTTATTATGCGCACCTTTTGCCTACTTCAATATTTAAGTGGTTCGCTGCCGTCGTTGCAAACCAGGCATAACTTTTGAGCACTGCTGGATCAACTCCACGCAATTCAATTTCTAATTTTCTATAAAGTTTATCTTTCTCGACGGCAACTTCATTAATAGCAGGAGTTGTAATATTCTGAATGGGCTGACCACTGCTACCAGCGGTTTCTGTGCTATACAGCACCGATGTAATTCGAGGCAGGGATAAGCCAACAGAGACACGCTCCAATAACAAACTCCTTACCGCCTGTATGGGTTGAAAATCTTTTATTAATTATTTTATTTTAATTAATTTTATATGCTCACCGATATCATAATTGCAAATGAATGAATGTTTTGGAAAGAGCGGAAGAGGTTATGTAAGTCAATCAGCTGGGAATATTTTATTTTTTTACATTTTGGTTTAGCACTTGCTTGTTTATAAATACTTGTTCACACTTCGCTCTTATTTTAAGTAAATTATATACCTTTAAACAAAACTGCCAAAAATTTATATCTGACCGAACATGTATTTAATAGTTAGGACAAAAACAAAATCGTTTTATAAACTATAAATAATTTATCATGTATTCAAAATGTGTTGATATGCAATTAGAAAAGCGGATTTGAACAAATTTAACTAAAAATTATGCTGATGTGTTTTAACTGTTAACAAATTAAAAAATTGTGACAAACTTATTAATAAAAAATAAATTTCATTCGGGGTAAATTTATTTAAACATCTACATAAAAAGTTGGCAACTACTGGCTTTGTGCACACCCATGTTCTCAGCACGTGCAATTGTTTTGTTTTTGAATACTAAGATGGATCAAGGTAGCTACAATTTAAAGATGTTTATACACAAATATTTAAAATATAAGAACAATGTTACATTTATGCTTTTAAATTAGGTATGCCTGATCTTGTTGATGAACAGCATAATAATGCTTGTACCAATGGGGATAGTTGTAGCGATGATGACGATTTCAGCGAAGCTGATATGGAGATGGAACCAGTCCACTGTTTATTTTGTGAACAGCAATTAAATTGTGTAGAAATAGGCTTGGAACATTTAAAAAAAGATCACAGCATTGATTTCCAAAAATTAAAAAGTAAATTTTGTATGGATCAGTATGCGTTTATTAAGTTAATAAACTGTATACGTTGCGAGAATGTACCGGCAAAACAAATTCTAGCTGCCGATATACCATTTTGGAATGATGAAAAATATTTAAAACCTCAAGAATACGAAGCATGGCTAAGTTATGGTAATTATCAATAATACATTATATACTATATATATATASTACTCAAACATATATTTCGCCTCTAAAGATTATGATGACATGCCTGAGGCGTCTGTGATAAGTAACGAGAGCGGTACCGCAAACGAAAAAAATTTATTATCTACAATAAAATCTTTACAAGAAAAGGTTAAAGAACAAGACATTTTGCTCGAACAAGGAAGAGAGGACATGGCAAAAATGCGTGTAAGTTTTCAACGACTGCTGGATAAGGAAACAACACCAACAACGAATGAGCGAAATAGAAMATTAAAATCACCCAATTCAGTAGCAGGCGTTTCATTGGAAGCTGATAGCAGTTATTTCAGTAGCTAYGCCCATTTCGGCATACACCATGAAATGTTGTCCGTAAGTGAAAAAAGCGCCTGTCCTTGATTGGATTTTATTGACGAATTCTTATATTTGAAGGATGTAGTTCGCACGACAAGTTATCGTGATGCATTACTACTGAATAAAGAATTTTTTAATGGCAAGGATGTGCTTGATGTTGGCTGCGGCACCTCAGTACTCTCAATTTTCGCATCACAGGCCGGAGCAAAGTGTGTCGTTGGTATAGATAACTCCGATATCATATATAGTGCAATGGATATTGTGAAGTAAGACACTTGCTAACGATCTCTTTTACAACATATTTATATATGGATTATGTATTTCCTTTAGACGAAATAATATTAGCAACGTTACATTGGTTAAGGGGCGCTTGGAAGACACAAATCTACCACAGGAAAAATTCGACATAATAATATCTGAGTGGATGGGATATTTCCTGCTATTTGAGGGAATGTTGGACAGTGTAATTTATGCGCGTGATACACACCTAAAACCGGGAGGTATACTACTTCCAAACCGTTGTACATTGAGTATTGCTGGCTATGGCAGTGAATCGCTCTATAAAGATCACGTGACATACTGGGACAATGTGTACGGTCTAAATATGTCAAATATGCGCAAAGAGGTACTACATGAACCACTCATCGATGTGGTGGATGCCGAACATATTCTCACTGAACCAAATATGGTAGCCGACTTGAATCTACTGAAAGTCGATTTGAATTATTCAAACTTTACCTATTCGTTCAATCTCGAATGTATCAAGAGCGGTGAATTATCTGCGTTTGTCGGCTACTTTGACACATATTTCGACCTTCCAGTGCCGGTGATGTTTAGCACCTCAGCCGAGAGTAAACCCACGCATTGGAAACAAGTTGTATTCTTTCTAGAGAAAACGCAAAAAATAGCAATTGGAGATATTGTCAAAGGCAACATTGTGTGTCGCCGTAGTCGGAATAGCGCTCGTTCACTGGACATAACAATTGAAGCATTTGGAAATAAATGCACCTACTATTTRGATTAACTTCTTAAGCAAGAATGTTGAAAACATTTGTATATTTCAAAAWTTAAGAATAAATTTTGAATGACATTTGAAATCTCCAAACCTCCATTTAGTTTCTGTACCCCATTGAACAAGGCTTGACTCTTCTCAAGATGTAGACGAACTAAATCGCTTGTGTGAAACATAAGAATTTTTGGCAAATTATTGAAAAAATAACGTTTTACTCTACGCATTAGTAAGATAGTAATTTTCTTTATTTGGACAGCCTGTGCCCATGCATATGTACGTGTGTATATTTGAGACAATGCCCGCTCACCGTCTAACTTACTAGCTATACTAGATGAGCGTTGCATACTAATACAGAACAAATAAATTACTAAAACTGCATACATACATATTTATAAACWGAAAATAATTATAAAAGAAAGTATATACCATTTTTCCCAAACGTATGGATATTGACATCGGTAGTATTTCAAAACAGTAGTTAAAAAAAACTTGTATATGATTTATAAAAACACGATAATTAGAATCAGTTATGCGGTGGCTGTTTCCAACTCAGATGCTGGTATTTCGGGTTCCTCGTCGTTATATACGTTTTCTGCCATCTGCCATACTTGCATTATGTTGTCCTCCGAAACCGAACAAATTATCCACGGTTCGTTTGGATTCCACGAGAAGTCCGATATTTTAGCAGTATGACCGCCATGAATGAATAATAGCTCTGGTGGTCCATCTTCGGCGTCTTCTGCGCTCTGTTCTTCACCAATTTTTGATAGATCCCATACATGTAGTCGACGATCCGTACCAGACGAAGCCAAAATTGTTTCATTATGCGGTGACCACTGTACTTGGAAAATTTCGTCCTTATGTGACTCGAAGGAATGTAGTTTCAATTTGAGATTGCGCAAGTCCCATAATGCCACTGTCTTGTCGGCAGAACCGGTTGCCAGAATAAATTCAGAATAGGGATTAAAACTCAAACAATTTACTTCAGCCGTATGAGCATCCACCGTATGCGATGGCTTTGATGTATTATTATTACGCGTATCCCAGATCATAAGTTTCTGATCATCAGCAACAGAACCAAAAAGTGATTCATGCAACAAATGCCAGGCGACGTCTTCCACGACTGCAGTGTGACCGGTGAAAATATTTTTTGCATCAATAACCCGATGCTCCTTAGGTGTGGCGTTTATATCCCAAAGGCAGATTGTATGATCGTCAGACGCGGACAGTAAATAGCCTACTCAAAATATATAAATTAGTTTAGAAAACAATTATTKAATTTCTTACTAACCATTTAAATTTGGATTCCATGATAGTCCATAACCCTCCTTTTGATGCCCCCGCAACCGCAAATCAGGATGGCATTCACCGGATGGTTCGGGTTTACTAGGATGTTTCGTATAATCAAAGACAAGCACATCGCTTGATGGTGTTTTCGTTGCAATAACACATGCATTTTGTGGCATATAACGTGCACGATTTACTTCACCCTCATGATTGATTTTAATTTCGATTTCTATCTTCCCACAAACGGATCCGAAGCCTCCGAACTCGCCTTTTTCATTATCATAATGTGAGCCATCGAATTGAGCATCCTCACTGGGTAATTGAACGCTTGCAATGAGTAGGTGATTTTGTTCATCCGAAGTATGGGTGCCCAAAATCAGACGATGTACGGAATAATCTTTTCCTTCCTGTTTAGTGACATCCGGCAGCCACTGTGCAGTCAATGAAGGCCACTCCAATGCATGTGTCATCACCAAATCGTAAAGAAATGGTGTATTTTTCTTCCATATTTTATATTCCTCATTAATGACACGCTCTTCAACGGCATCATCGAAAGATTCAGCTATAAAAATTTATATTTTTTTTAATTTTATTTCCATACATCCAAAACAAATTTGCTTACCATTATCACTACGGTCAACCATAGTTGGTAAATTATTCACGCCGCTAGCGTTGGCTTAAAGGCGCCAAAACAACAAAGCAACAGCGGCGAAAGCTACGATAGCAGCGACGCAGACAATTTTTAAGCAACTACTAGCAGTAATTATCAAATTACCAGAGAGAATCTGCAACTCTTTTAAATTACGCAACGCAGAAAATAATATACTTCTGTCGAAATATTTAATATATTTCGCAGATAAACGTTTGTATAAATTAAATTCACCGGCAGCAAAATGAAAAGAATTATATAGAAGCCGAAGCACTTTTCAAGCGAACTTGGTTGCTTTTTAATGCGAAAAAGCGGTAGAGTTAGCGTTGCCAACTGCATAAATGACACATGAAAGGTGTATTGAGGCTGTATACACACTATAGGAAGGCTGTAATAATTTAATTTTGTAAATTTGAGCAAAAAATTTTATTTTGTATATAACATATATAAATATTAATATTTCGTATAAAAMATTTTATTTTTTTGCGGAAATTTGTAAAAGAATACATTAATTTGTCATTCGGATAAAAAAATTTTTTAAATTAAAAAAGGTATTTAATTATTAGAGCTCAATGATAAATTATTTTCTTATAAGTTTACACACGATTATATTTTTAAGATTTCAATATCCTGAACTATGTTGCAACGAATTTCCTACCGACCTCGTTGACTCTTTTTATTTTTTTTTTTGCACTCCGGACTACGACGGGATGCCTCTTGATGTCTCCCATCGAACATCTACACAGTGAGACGCTTATGCTCCCAGTTAAGGAGCATAACGAACTCCTCTCCAAGCAGTTCCTGCTGGGATGTTTTCGTAGAAGTCATCCTTGCAGTCATCTGCTT